GTGATTTCCTAATTCCTTTTTGTATACTGGGCAACAGTGATAAGAAAAAACTATTCCTGAGGACTGTTTTTAATTGACTGTCACTGTGTTCTTCTGAACGAAAATGCCAGGCACCTACTAAAACAATGTCTTTTATGTGTTGCCAAACAAAAGAGCAGGTTTGTTCAGTAATATATGTATGTAAAAGCATGAGGATTCTGTGATTATTTTTATAAGGCTTTTTAATAACTAAGAACATGGCTCAGAGCTTGTAAAAGCTGAATATTCTGAGAACTTATTCTTTTCACAAAATGTTTAAAGAAATTCCAGTTATGCAAAACCTAAATGCAAATATTACAGCCCAGTTCAGCAGAGTTCTTAGGTACGTGCTCCAGTCCCTTCCAGAGAATGCAGTGCATATCTCTGTACTTCCTTTTGTACGTTGAGGTGGATGTTGCTGACTTGAGACTTAAAAAACAACTGGGTGAGACAAGAAGCAGTAAACGAAGCTGCCAAAACTATGGCAGAAGAGCAGAATAAAATAGAAGGTGGATCTGTTGACCCTGGCTGCTACTTTTTGCTTTCAGATTTGGAGAAGATTTAACGAAGGTGTTTTGGGTTTGATTTTACAGTAAACCTACAGAACCATGTTTTAAGGAAAAGAAATAATAATAGTGGGGTTTTTTATAGTATGGTGCTGTGTCAGGGATACTGAGAAATCAAGTGGGGGGAAAAAAAGATAGATTTTTGCTAAAATGGGAACTGTCTTATCCACACTTGCCCATTTGCCCACAGGTTTTAAATTCCAGGTGATCTGATCTTGTTCATGCAACACTTTTCTTTGGCAGCTCAGTAAATGCAGTTTAAATATTCTTGGAAATTAATAAACATGTCAGGTATTTTGAAGTCTGAAAACTCAGTTAAACCCTTGAGCAAAGATAGCTTAACTGTCTGACTGTATTTGAGCTTGTATTAAAACATGTCCAGAGAGTTGGAACAGAGCAAGAAACCAATATGTTAATTAATCTCTGCAGTACTGTTGACCTTGTCTGCTTCACTCTGTAGCAATATATTAACAGTGGAAGGGCTAATGTGTCCACTCTGGCATTTAGAAAAATTAATCAAGTGAGACTGCTGATTTTAAAAAGGTCTTTAGTTAAAATTCACTTTAAAAATATGTTTTTCTAATGTTGTATATTCTTAAATGAAAGGTTAATGCAAAAAAAAAAAAACCCAAACAAACAAAAAAACCCAAACAAACCAAAAAACCCAACCAACCAACCAATCTTTGGAGCTTTACTTGATTTGTTTTTGAAAACAATCACAATCGGTAAAATTGAATTGATGTGTCTTTGCAATAGTGCTGACTGTGTTAAGACCTCTGTTCCCCTGGCTTGGTGACTTCCTGCCTCCTTTATCTGGGCACATGTGCAGATTTGCCTGCAAAGCGACATTCCTTGAAAGGAATATTCACTAAATAGCTGCAGAGCAGCAATGACCTTTCGGTTCTTTTTCAGCTTCTGCTCACCCACACTGGTAGTTCTCAGACCCTCACAGATCACAAGATGAAACCCACTGATCTAACCTTTTAAAACTAGGCACTAAATACCTCCTAATTAGCACAGGTAGTGAATAAAGTAATTCAGAGAAATGTAATTTGGTTTGTGATTGCTGATATTTGAATGATACTTCATTCAGGTGATTTTGAAATATTCTCTTATTGTAATATACTGTTACTCTATTAATTTTGCTTGTGCAGTGGCTTCCCAAACAACTGAATTTTGGCTCCTCAACTATGAACTTCCATCAAAAATAGTAATTAACAGCTTTCAACTTTGTAGAATCAATCACAGTAAACCATTTAGTTATGCCAGGTTTTCATTTTGTGGTCAAGGATTAAATACAATCCATTTACCATTTGTTTATTTATTGAGGTGTGCTTGAAGCTGACCTTGTAGGTCTTTTCTGTCTTTATTTTGTGTGATCCTTGAGACAGACTTCAGAAATCTTGTTTAATATAATACAGATGAACGTCACGTCATCAGTAAGGTGGTGACAATGCTGATTTAAAACACAGGAAGTTAGATCCTCTGTCAGGTCAGCACTGACAGCCTTCCATTCCCATCTCTTGTCTCGTTTTTCCTGGGGCTCCTGAGCTATCTCTGCTTTCCATATTGCATGATTATTTTCTTCCTTTCCACTGTATCAGTTTTAATTTCATGGACACAGAGTTTACTTGGAAAATTGGGTTGGGTGATGGGATGTGCATTTTGGGTTTCTTCCATCTCATGACGCGTTGTGTGTGTGTGTGTGTGTGCGTGTGTGTGGTGTGTGTGTAGTATAAGTTTGAGGTCAGAGGTGAAGATGTATTGGTGTTTCTCTCTTGATTCCAGCTTCTTGCCTTAGTGTTTATAAGTTTTGGGACAAATCTCACTTCTTGCTTCCTTATTTTTCTACCTTTCCTCATGGTGATAAGGGGCAACCCATATGATGGAAGAGTTGTCTTAATTCTGCGGTCACATATTGAATGGTGACATCTGCAGTTCTTTACATATTTTTTTTTCCTTGTAGCATTGTGTCTCCTCATCTTGATCAAGGTATTTTTAAACCCTCTAAAGCAGAGTTTTTAAAGTATCTCTCTGTCGATTGATTCACTGTTACTTGACCTTTCCACGCTGTGATTGAGTTATGGGAGTGAATTGTGGAAACTCTGTACTTGATTACATCAGGAGAGACAGGGCTGCTGCATCCAGGCTGTGCTGCTGTGCCTTGAAGGGTTAATATGCTCAGCATTAGTGTGAGGTTTCTGCACTGTGGCTCACCTGTAGTGAAGTCCTGAAGCCTAAAGTAAACCCAGATCTCATTTGTCTACACAATACCTTGCTGGTTCTCGTGGCGGTGCCCAGCAGCACTACTTGTGCCTCTTGGACTTGCAGCACCACATCACAGTTCTGTTCTGATTGCGATCTGCTGTCTCTGCTGCTCTCTCTTTCTGTGGAGCTGTAAATCCTCGTGAACTGTTGGTTCTGCAGAGCAGAGCTGTGCTTTTACACTGGCTGAGAAATCTCCAGGTACACCACCACTGCTGTATAAATAAAAAAATAAACTAATAAATCAGCTATCATCGGCCGTCACCTCCTAAATTGAGGTCAGAAAGAAGTCATTTGAGGGAGAAGCAACAAGGAAAGCTGAAATGCCTGATGTCCCCATGGGGGGAGCACAACCTAAAGATCACACTTGGCATTTAATTTAGAAAATATATAGCCAGTCCAAAATGAGAATCTGTCAAGCAGACAATTAACTATCTGATGTGAGGAGTCTGACACTGAAAATGCTTCATGCTTCCATGCTAGCACTTGGCTTTTAAACCATCAGGCACCTCTGAAAGTAATTTGTCAACACCCTCGTGTCCTCCAAGAGGAGAGCTATTGATCTGCGTGTCATCAGCATCTAGATGACATCAAAGTCCATGACAATCGTGGTACTCCTACCGCTGTGGTCTACCACTGGGACATGGTATGTGCCAAAGAACCTAAATCAGGGGAACAAGCTTTCTTGTAGGAATCCCACAATGTTTTTAAGTTTCTGTCCTCTCTCCTCCCCTGTTTAATTTAAGGAGCTCTTTCCACAAACCCCCCTTTTATGATTTTTTTTTCTTTCTTGCACAAACAGAAGAGTGCAAACACTTGATGTTTGTGGATGTGGGACTCTTTCAAACCCATAGGGAAAGTTACTGTCTAGTGGAAGTAGCATTTAATATTTACAATACTAGTAACTCACAGTAACTGTAGAGTTTATGGCCATGGAGCTGAATATTAATTTACTCATCCTATAAAGCCCCTGTGATCACCTGTTCTGGGTGCCTTCTGCCTCGTGAGGCACTGCAATGTGCTCCTTCCTGTGTGCAGGTAGGATATAATGCTCAGTAAGGCAGGACCACGAGGAGCCCGGTCAGGAGAGCAGTACTGAAATGTTTTAATTCCTGATAAGCCATAAATGATGGGACCAGCACACTGGATTTGAGAACATGGAAAAGGACATTAGATATTTTCTTGATACTATTGTATCACATACAAATGTACAAGCTCTGACTTGAAATTCATCAACTTGACCTACCAGAGAAGTTAAAGAATGGGTGTGAATGCGGGCTGTGCCTTTTGTGAAATGTCCTGTAAACATTTGTTCCAGTACATTTGATTCTCAATTTACAATGAAGAAAGGTTCATTCATCTGAAGAGAGATTGCTTAATGGCCTCTGTACAGCCAGAACTTTTATTAATATAATAGTGTCAGTTTTCATTTGAAGGGCATTCAGAGCCGCTAAGCAGTTGAAGAAGTGGAATTTGAAGTAAAATTGTATTTCTTTTCTTAAGGCTACTATTAAATTTTGTAGTGAATTTTCAGTCCTTTACAACTCCCACGAAATAGCCAAATGTAGGTTTTATAGAACAGAGCAGCTTCTTTAATCTGTTTGGCCTTTAATGTTTTCAAAATACATGTGTCAGTGTTTTGTGTAAGTGCTAGTGGGACTCTAGGTATTTTCCCCTCCTGTGAAAAAGAATCCGTGGCAGAAACAAGATAATTAGTCTTGTTACAGCTTGACATGTGTGGTGAATCAGACATATGCATGTTGTGCTATTTATTTGCTCTATAAATTAAAATAATGGCAAATATACATAATATGCATGCATATAAAATGTGTACATAAGCTTATACATATATATATATATGTATATAATATTCCAAGTTGTCTTGGGGTGAGGCCAGGGAAACTTGCAATGTCTGACTGCCAGGAAAGCTCCTGCCCCCAGCTGGGTGGCTCTAAGGTTTTAATTTTTGATGATCCTTTCCCAGTACACCCAGTTACACTGTCATCGGTTTCTCATTTTGGGGCTTATAATGGGGCTCCCAACAAAATCCAGGGGCTGTGTCTGTGACAATGAAAGGCTGAGTTCCTGTAGAAAGTCCAGAAGATGAGCTGAGGGTGTATGAAGAAATGATGCTTCAATGTGTTGTTGCAGATGGATGCCAGTCCTCCGAGTCTCTCCATGACAGCTTTCCCAGGGACCCCGAGTGTCCGGTTCATTCTCCATGTCACCCCTGAGAATGCAGAGTTCTTGTAAAGTCAGTTGAAACAGTGTAAAAAAGGAGAATGTCTTGAGTTGCTGCTTTTCTTCCTCTTCTTTCCCCTTCCCAGCCCTTCTTCTGCCCGTATTTCATCACTGCTCATTCACAAAGGTTGTTTTCCTTCATCCAGATCAGGGGCAGGGATGAAAAATCCACCAGACTTAATACAGAAAGGACTAATATTACCTGTAACATCCTCAGCCTTCCTTGGTCTCGTCTCAGATGGCATGGAATTAAATAGTTACTATTAAAGATTAATAAGGGTTCACAGACAGTTCTCAAATGTTTATAATTGTGTTAGAAAATCTTCATTATCTTTTCCAGTATTTTTGTGGTACTTGTGGCAAAGTATTTAATTTCCATCAGTAGTAGAATATTCCATTATACAAGTCTGGCAAATGCTTAAAGAATTTACTAGTTTAAATATGTGATTTTACACACAGAGCTTTTCTTATTTCCATCAAAATGGTTATCCTAAATAAATAATTGGTGATCTATTAATGAAATAAAAGCCTGCCTGGATGTCATGTTTAATGAAAACAGGATGGATCATACCAGACTTGGAGCAGGCCATTGGTACTTCAGGTCTGTGCCGTCATCTCCACAAAGGCACATGTATACGCCCTGCAGATGCAGTGGATAACAGCTCTCTGGCACAGCTGTCATAAACATGGCTGAGAAGCTTTTAGGAATACTTATTAAATTTTGATTTTGAGCCTCTGATCTCTGTCTGGCTTGAAATATACTTCCTAGGGTATTTGAAAGACGGCTCCTTATCTGAAGACAAGTTTACCTTGATAAAAATGAGACTGGTTTGAGCGCATCCCTGCAGAGTTGGGCGGTTGAAGGTGCTCACCCCTCAGATAGGATCAGCGAGAACTGTGAGGGCTGATGGCTCAGCCGTGGGATGTGAATTCAGGCTAAGATATGGACACTCCTATCTCTGTTTTAGGCAAAACATGCAGTGACACAACTAAGGAATCGAATGTGTTTCTTCTTAAAAGGCTAATGTTGTTTGCCTGGGCAATAGAAGGAACTATTTTGAAATGGACTGAAAATTGCTCCTTTGCATTTCTCTGTGTGTTAAGACTTGCAGATTGTGCAGTGATTAAACAAAATCATCCATTGATTGGTGAGGAAGTGCAGATCTCTCTCTATCGGATTTGCACTCTTGTCCTGCTTGTATAATGAGGAAGTAAGAGAAACTTGGAAGTCTGTTAGATTTCTGGGTTTATAAAAGCATTTATGTTGTTATATGAGCCACATAACTCAGCACCATAACAGCCTGTATGCAAGATTACCTAGAAATGGCCACTGAGCATCAAACCTCCGTGTTCTCCTTTCCAGAATGATGAAGTCCTCTGTACATACAGAAGAAGATGACTTTGTGCCAGAGCTTCAGCGAAGCATCCATCCCAGAGAGAGGCCAGACTGGGAGGAGACTCTCAGCGCGATGGTAAGACATCCCATTGCATCTTCTGTGTGCATCATGCTCGGTTCTGAACAATCTACTCTCGTATTTTAGTTACACATTGATTTATATTCCCTGAGTTTCAGGTTTTCAAATGGATTGCATAGGACTTTCCACAAGACCAAAATACTTCCCTTCCTCTGGCAGTTTGTCAAAGAGAGAGAAGGAGAGTGCATAATGCTCCTGCCCTATTAATACGTGCCCCAAAGCAGGTCTAGTAACCAATTAAAAGGTCTATAATGTCACAATGATTTTCAGTCTGCATTAACCTCTTTTTTCAGCAAGATTTTGAGCATGAAGGGAACTTCTTGTAAAAACATGCTCTTCGAAGCATGCAGCATTGTGGAACAGTAAGATTTTAGCAAAATGCTGGCTAAGTCAATAGAAATAAAACAGCAGCCTGAAAACTCACCTAGCATCTGGGGGAACAGAACTGCAGAAAAGCCATCACAGAGGTGCTGTTCTTAGGCTCACAGAAGGCAATACACGTGGACAGTGGGCCACAGACAACTGTGTTACCTTGATTTATTTGTTTTCTTTTTAAATGAGCAAGTAAAGTACCTGCAGTTCGACTTTCCCAGCTCCCTCGAACATTTGCTGAGCTTGGAAGGTCAGATGTTGTGTTATTAGCAGCCGAACAGGGCAATCTGATTAGGTGGTTTTGTGAAGTTATCGTACCTCACAGGAGCTGGACCTGCCTTGTTTCAGTATAGGAGTGTCTGGGAGCTGTATCTTCCTCATTATTTTCAGATTTTCTAAATTGCCTCATTAGCGTAGTAAGCTGAAAAGGAAATTACCATCTGCAGCAGACCTTGGACAGGGGAAGGTCTGAATATTCCAGGAGAGCACAGTTTAAAGCAGCGTTAGTATCTGGCTGGGTCATGCGAAATAGATTTTGGGTTAACTGTTCTTCACACAACGTTCAGAAAACATGTAGGTGATAAACTCCCTACAGCCAGGAATTTATTTTAATTTTAAACAGAGGAACAAAGGGAACTACTGTGTTTTACTCTTTTAAAAGCATCATCAAACCCCATATAATACAATGATAATATTTTGTTCCAAACTTTATTTTCAAGCCAAAGAAACCATCCCCAAACTTAGGCTTCACCAGCGTTTTTGTCTGCTGCTATTTTCTGTGCTCGTCACCCCGCTTGACTCCTTGCTTATCCACTGATAACTCTGACTTTTTGCAGTTGTCACTTCCTGAGTATGTTTTTTTCTCATATGTGGGTATTTTTTTTTCCTTCTCTCCACCTTGGCCAGTAGTTCTTGCTGGTGCTGCCTGTTTGAGGGCACTGTCTGTTAACAATCAGTGTTGGGCAGTGCCTGCTCCCAGTGCACGGTGCTTCTTCACACCCTAGAGCCAGGAGTCCTGTGTGAATCACGGTGTGACACTGAGCTGTCTGTAACCTCCAGGTGTGTCTCAGGAACATCAGGCTGTCAGTCAGCATCTCCACCTGTAACACAAGTTACCTGGCATACCTCATTTGTTTTGGTTTGTTTTGCTTTTCCATTGTTGATTTACAGTGGAGGAAAGGTTCACCTCTTCTGGCTTGATACTTGCCCTGTTCTCATCAAGGCTGTTGTGCTCATGGACATTGTTCAGTGCTCAGCTCTGTACCACAACCTACACCTATGCATAATGTTCCTATCTCTGTGCTAACTATTAATTCACTTTTTAGAACATGTCCTCTTGCACAGCTCTGTGCCAGCAATATAAAAACTGGGCAGTCCAGGTGGCTGTAAGACAGAGATTTAGAGGATGATAAAGCAGAAAATTCACATACAAGATTTGGTGCACAGTGATTTGGTACGATGAAGCACAGGGTTACACGTAAAGCTCCTGAACATGTATTTATAATGGCTTGGATTTGTGCTTACAGCGTTGTTCTGACCTCCTGGTCTTCTGAATAACTTGTAAATGGGTTGAAACATCTCATTTGCTCCTGTTTACTGTGTTAAGTGAATCAAATTTCCACTTTCAACCTCTGCCCTATGTCCAGTCAGCAGGTAATATTTACAAGATGTAAATATTTACAGGACAGTGTTCAACACTGTCACTTTCTATTTGCTGTTGAACCAGTGCATCTACTATATTCTGTCCTTTTCCTGATCGTTTTAAGCCTTGAGATTTTTTTCCTTGCTCTTTTCCCTCACTTTGCAGTTTTAGCAGCCTCTGGTTTAGCCTTTTCCCAGAGCGTGCTCCTTGCACTGTATGTGAGTTTCTCACAGTGGCATAATACATTGAATTTTTGGTTAGTAGTTGTTTAAGTTGCAGATTTCAGGCTTTGTTGTTGCTGTTTCAAGCTCTGGGGAATGGAGGCTGCAGGGGCCTGGGGAAGTTGGACAGAGCTGTCTTGTTCTCTCCGTTGCTTCCTGTGGCAGACAACTGGAGACCCAGCTGGGTGTGAGGCTTTGTCACTTGAAATGAATTTCACGTTCTGCCAGGTGAGCAAATGCTGAGACCAGCAACACTGAGGAGAGCTTGGGAAATTCTGACACAGCCAACAGACCGGTGATGCTTCTTCATTTGTCTCTGGAACTTTGCTTTGTACATGTTTTTGTACTTTGGGGAAGGCAATTTACGCATTCACTGTTAAATGAACGTATACAAGTCGTCCCTACTCTCCCTCCCCTCTTTTATCCACAATATATTGCAAAGTGCTTATTATTAATTTATATAAGTGCTTTCTTTCCAGAGGTTTTTCTCAACAAGAAATAAACTAAAGATCTTTTTAAGTGTGTGGATGTTGAGTGTCCCCCTATACTGTAAATATAAGGTAGGGCAGGAACCCTATTTTTAATATTTCTGCCCTTGCCAGTTAATTCTGGGTACCTGAGTAGCTTGTGTCCTTTGTTTGATACTATTTTACTGTCTTTTTAATGTATATTCTTTTTCCTTTCACCTCCTTTTTACAAATACTTGTGTTTTGTTTGTGGTTTAGCAGAAAGGCAAGGGATTTTGTATCGGAGACCTGGTTTGTTTGGGTGCTTCTGGTGGTTCTTGACACTTCATAGTAGTTATGAAATCCTGCGCTGTGGATTTTGAGAACCAGGCTGAATGAGATGCAGCAGTAGATGGACCGACTTTGCAGGGGTTAGATAAGAAGACAGCTGCTGGCGTAGTCCTCAAGGGCTGCTATATTTTGTATTCCTCCCCTGGCTCATGTTCTGTATTTTTAGAATTTGCAGATATTAGATATACCATTTTTCTCAGTGTCTCAGGCTCCTATTCCCACGGCGCTGCTGCCCTGCTGGGTAACCTTCACACATGCTGCTTCTTTTCTTTCTCTGCTCCAGTTTGGAAAATGCAGTTGATGGTATTGACTTTCTTTGTAGAACACTTCTGAGTTGTAGGCATGAAAAGCTGTATTTGAGCCAAGTAATAATGCAGTATATGGATTTTCTAACATACATGGGATAGTAATGTTATTTTAAAGGAAAGGAGTATGTTTTCCCTGTAAGGTCCTGAGGAGTGCTCTATTTCTGTGGTACAAGAAATGAAGTTGCGAAAGAGCCTTTATTTAATGATTCTCATACAAGCCTACAAAACAGCCTGTCACTAACTTTAGCATAAATTGGTATTTGTACTTAATATTATGTTTACCTTACGGTATTGACCATCTGACTTGCTCTCAGCACCTCTTGAGTTCAGTAAGTTGCAGTTTTTACAAGCAGTGTGCTAACAACCTTTCCCCCCAGCAGACCGGTGTGCTCACAGACACACAACTCGCTCTGTCCATGTTGCTTTTTTCTTCCATTTCCCTAAATTTTGTGGGGAAGCAGGATTACAACAGTGAGATCAATATAAAAATCTTTATTTATGCACCCTGTTGAAATTGTGCTGTCACAGAAAGATACCACCTGAAGCTGCATTAACCTGACAGGCACTAGACAGAAAGTGAATATACTCACTCCAAAGCTAGAAATGGGATTTCTTTTGTGTGTGTGTGTGTGTGTGTGTGTGTGTGTATATATATCCAACTTTGTGTGTTTCTGAAAATGTCTGTTTTTCTGCAGTCTCTGCTGCTTCTTCCCGCTCTGGAAACTTTTAAAATATGAATCCCTAAAGCTGTGGTAGTTTTATTTACTGGGAGATTTTTTCCACAGTGCCCTGAGCAAAAGAATACAGGTGATGATCCTGATACCTGTCACAACCTACAGTGAATGTCTGCAGGGATTAATTAATGAGAAGATCATGGCTGGAGGTGGCCAAGAGTTCTTCACCTTGAGGAACTCAGCCTTTCCCACCCTGGGGCACCTCTGAACAGTAGCTTTTAGGATCTCCAAGTCCATAATGAGGTTATTATTGTCCATAATGAGGTTATTATTGTCCATAATGAGGTTATTGAGATGAAACCTGTGGTATCCCCAAGTGTTACTAGTTGATAACCAGGTTACCTAGAAAAGCTGTGATACAGGAACCTCTAAATTACTGATGGGAAACTATTGTGAATCCTTGAATTTGCCAAATGCAGGAGGGAACAAGAAGGCAGGTAGTTGGCAGTTGGTACACACAATCTTTTTTGGTTTATGCTGGTGGAATTTTCTCAGGAAAAATACAAACCTCTAAATGTTTTAGAAAGGCACAGAGGTCAGACCTTGTCCTGTGAAGTCCCTGGAATAATCTTAGTTCTTATATCAGGTCAGATGGATTCTGTAGTATTTTCAGCGTTTGATACTAGATCAGGTAACGTACCACGGCTTGTGAGGGTAATAAAAGCTTTTTAATGAGACCTCAATATATCACTCTATTAAATCTGGGACATGAGTGAGGAGAAAACTATTTTTAAATACCATTTATAAAAGTGTGTAGAGTTTAGTGAATTGTAAAGGTTTAAAGAAAGGTTTCGCTCTCCTCAGCACAGGATTTGTTTCTCATTCTTTGTACAGCACTTAGCCCAGTGCTGCCTCAGATCTTGATTGTGGCTTCTGCAAGAATAGATGCAAAAAAACGGGAGTACTTAGGGCTTCTTTTGGAA